CTTCCGCGCGCATCTCTGCCTCGCGAAACGAGAGAAGAGTTACGAAGCTTCGTGTTTCATCGCGTGAGTTTTCAACGAAAATCGATGTTTGCGCGCCGCGCGCATTCGTGTGATATCGAATTCACTCGGGCAGCAGCAGCAGCGCCAGTTACCTCTTTTTTGTTTACTAGATTAAATTCCAAAACTACATCGTTTTCGGCACCTACTATATATTATGCTGCTGCTGCTGCTACTATGCCCCGTTACGTAATTTCTACGTCGTATAGATTCTCGGAAATTGGAGCACGTGTGTCGAGGGTTGAGGTGTTGCATTCGCGGGGGCATATAATACCACTCGAGTTTGAGAAAACCTTCGCTCTCGTTTCGGATTTACTCCTGTACGATGACGAGCGTATTAAATAAGCGCGCGGTGCCGACAGCATATCGGCAGCGCGATTAATAAGATTCTCGAATGGAGCACACTGCTACGAGTTGTGCACACTCGCGCACGAACGTTGAAAGGTGTACATCGGACAGACTATTTTCTTGGAATTCATAAAACTTGGCGACAGGAAATATAACGGAACCTAGCTCGCTAGCCTTTTACCTTTGAGAGCGAAAATACAAAAAAAAAGGAGGAGAAGAAGAATAAAGAAGTAGATAGAGAGAGGAACGAGATGAGGCGAGACGAGAAATATATCTCGTACCTAGACACATACACACGCGCGCGCGTTCCTTGCAACAGCTCCGAGGGAAAAAAAATCCGTCTCCATAAAAATCACATTAATTATCGGTGCGGTGCTTGCAGTAGTGGCGGCAGCGACGACCGCCGCCGATTCCTCTCGCAACATAAACATATGCACACTTTGATGAGAGAATCGCAGCAGCAGCAGCAGCAACAATTGTCAGGGACATGTGTGCGCTCCGCGCGCGAAGATTAATTCTACGTCGATAGTCAGGTATAAAATTCGTGCGTTGCGCCTTGCGGTTGACGCTCGCCTCGCTCGCTCCATTATTGCCTGGCGCCAAGAAAGAATTTCTGCTCGCTCGTGTGTGCGTACTTATTTTATATTATATGGTTGCGCGCGCGCGCGCGTGCTGGGAGGTGCCCCGAGACCCGCACAGACGACGACGACGACGATTCGAAGCTGATTTTTTAAATGCTTTTTTGAATGTATAATAAAGCGAGCGTCGATGATAGCTTTCTTCATTTCGATGATGACGAGCGACGCCGCCGCCGCCGCCGCTCGTGTATAATAATCGAGAGTTTCCATAATATTTACATAACGAGAGTATTATTGTATGAGTATGGCGCTTGTGTGTTTTATTTTCGTATAAATAATTCTTTCGCGTGACTCACACCGCGTGTATAGTGACAGCTCTCGTCGCGGACCGCAGCCAGCGTATAGTGGGTATATAGTACTTGACGCGCACGCGTCGAGACACGAGGACAGCTTTTTCTCTAATTTACGAGTCGCTTTGGCGTTTGTCAAACCCGACGACGACGACGCAACATAAATCAAATTATAAATAAACAACTTTATTGGGATTTAGGATCGAAATCATCGATGAGGGGCTTTGTAGATCGGTGAAAAAAATTAATAATGAGACTACGAGACCACGTGCTGAGTTGACTTTTGTGCTTTTCTCTCGAGCATTTGACATTTTTTAAAGCGCACAATAGTATATTTGTTTTGTTCGTTTGAATTAAACGATTCCGAAAATTCCAACCCTTTAGTCATGGATTTACAGAAATTAAAAGTTGAACGATTCCCTTATTTTTTGTAGGACTCCTATAGGAATTTTGATCCTTTATATAAAATTTTATCAAGGGTTGAACAACATTTTAAGAGGAATTCGAATTCAATTGAAAAAATTAAAATTTCAAATATAAGTCTATTCGTAAACTTCACATAGGTAAAGATTGTAATTCAGATATTGGCCACTGTACTCAACTACAAGAGTATATCTGATTTTTTTATTCATATTTTATGAAATTTATGAAATCTTCGAATGAGTTCAAGAAAATTTACGAAAAAAAATCAAGAAAAAATCCATTATAAGGAAACCTTATAAAGATTACCTTATAAATTAAGATGTAAAACCTCTTAATTTATTTCTCATGTGCAAGCAGAATTGGCATGATTTACTTAATGAGTATAAAAAAATAAAAAATATTGAAACTCCAAACAAAGAAATTGAAATACTTCAGGAAGAGTTTAATGAAGAAACTGTATCTGATGAAGAAACTGATGAAGTTGACAAAAACAAAAATGAATATGAGATAGAATTGACAAGTGATCAATGGCAAATAATATCACCTCTACCAGCAATAGATGGTGAAGATGAAACTCTTCAAAGTGGTTGGACTGACCTTGTATCAAAACTAATGTGGGAAAAAAATAAAAACATTAGTTGTGTCTATAATTTTAATCGTCATACAATCAATAAAAAAGATTATATAAATATTGATGGATACTGCAGTGTATGTCCTGCAACATTCAATATAACTTGCTATGAAAAACCTAATCAAGGAGCTGGAGTAAATTTGTTCGTTGAGTTGACAGGCATCAAGAATATATATCATAATAAAAAACGACACTTAAAAGGCCCAGAAAGAGAGAGAGAGAGAGTGAAAGAGGAGCTTAGAAACCAAAAGCCCAAATCATGGCGCAGAGATCAAATAGGCAAAAATATGAAATTTGGTGATAGCGAACCACCTCATCTGTACAGCTTGAGTCAGCTTCAACAGGCACGCCGTGAAATAAAAAACCAAGACCTTGGTATAAATGTGAAATTGAATGTATTCGATTCTTTAGAAGAATTAAAGAAAAATCCAGATATGGCTAAATTTACAAGAAACATTGGCTTTTCTCCTTTCCACATTATGTATTGGTCACAAGAACAGATTAAAGTAGGTAACGGAATCAACCAACATTTGGGTAATTCTTTTGCCATGGATGCCACTGGTTCTGTGGTGATAGAACTGCATCAAGACGTTGTCATATTCTTGACGGTTCTATCAACATATGTAGACCACTCTATTGTACCAGTGGCCCAATTACTGTCAGAAAAAAATGACACTGATTTACTTAATTATTTTTTAAATGAGTACATCAAGACAGGTGGTCAGTACTCAGAGGAAATTGTTACAGACATGGGTAAAGCTATTCAAAATTCAATATCTTTGGGATTCAACCAATTAACGTACAAGTGCTACTTAGATGAATGCTACCTCATTTTAAAAGAAAAGAAAAAAACTAAGTTAAACACACAAATAAGGAACACAAATAGTTATGTAATCCTGACTCAATTTCATCTCTTGGGGGCAGTCAATTAGTGCATCGGCGCCCTCTAGTGACGGAGAGCGAACTAACTAGATTGAAATTTGCCTTGAGGCAGTTTCATTCAACTTTTATTTCTAAACAGGGTTCTAAAATCTGTAATAAACCTGATAGACGCAAAAAATTGCTAGTTTCAATTGAAAAACCTTCCATCAATTTTATTTGCATTTGTGCCTGAAAATCAATACTTCCACATGCTGCACACAGAGATCATCGACTCGATGACATCGAGCCGCGCGAATGAAACGGATCGCGGCATAGAATAATCAGTAGCGTAAACAAACGCAACTAGTGTCGCGGTGCATATCCAAGCTCTTTCTCTCTCTCACTCGAGAGAAAATAGAATGAAAATCGACTAGAGGATAGGTAGCCGTACATACTCCTCTCGTCCGGGGCACAATCGACTTCTCGGTTTTTCGCTTCTCCGTACTCGTTTATACGATGCCCTCCCAATAGGGCCTTTTAACTCGGCAGCATTTGTTTCTCTTATTTTCTCTCTCTCTCTGCCTCGTGCTACATATATAGCGATGGACTTTTTCTTACACCGTGCGCGGCACAGCAGCAGCAGCAGCAGCAAGTACATCTTACGCGCGAGCTCGTACACACAGACGCAAGGCAAGAACCACCTGTGCAGTATATACCATATATGCGAGTATTATAGGAGCGCGAGAGTGTAACAATAAGATTATAATGGTCGTGGCGCGCGCGCACGCGGTATATATGTGTAAGACCGCCGCTCGTATTTATCATCGCTCTCTCGCGCGCGTACGAGTGTGAGTATATATGTGTGTGTATGCATGCCTGCCATTGTTTGCCGCGTGTCATTTCGTGGAGTTTCTCTCTCTCTTGGGCTCTGCACTGTTGCACACAGGCCCTATATCTATAATATAACTCGAGCCCAGCGTTGGACTCGCGCGCCCCGACCGCCTCACATTATTATGAGAGCGCGCGCATATACAGGCACGCCGCTCACATAAATTGGACACTACTGGCCTAAGGCCTTTCGGCCTCTGGCCCGAAAAACTTAGCACGCACAGCCCGCGCGAGCATATTGTTTTACAAACACACTTGTGTTTCTTCTCGTATACCTACTACGTACGATCGTGTTCGTCTTCGCCTTTTCTTTTATTATATGCACACAGGCTAACACACAGGTACAGAGCGACGTATACATACTTTTTTATTGTTCATTTTGGTGTTGCTTTCTTCGCCTTCCCCCTTGTCTTTATCCGTATTTATCTTTCGTGCCTACCGTGCCTTGCTCTACACACATACACATATATACGAATTCACATTAATGCATTCGCATCAAGTGCCTACCCTCGCGCGTGTGCGCGCAAACAGCGCCGATTTTTTTTCGCAAGTTTTACTTGGAAAAGTTGTTCTGTCTCTTGAAACAATGCCAAAATTTTTGACATAAATTTTCTCAATACCATTTCAACTTGTAATCCATTATTCTCAATTATAATTCCAACGTTCACGGCTAAAAATATCTTTGCACGATCTTTTCAAATTTACTCGTCATTTTCAGAAGTTTTCGCACAAGAATTCGTTAAAATCAGGACCCCTGAGATATCCAATTGAGAAGGTACTTTTTAGAATTGCAAGGTTAATGTGAATAAAAAATTTTTCATAATTTTTGGAATGACAGAATTAATTTAATATGTTGAGGTCGATTTCGTCAATCCTCGTCAATCAATAAGATTTTTAATTCGTTCAGATTACTTAATGACAATCAATGTAACACAATCAATATTAAAATTTTCTAAAAAAAATAATACAATGGAGTAAATTTCTAATTGAATGCATCTGCATAAGCGAGTCGCGAAATAAAATTTTATTGAAAAGCGACTACCTATTCTATTTACTATTACAAAAATGAAATCAATGTTAGGGGTTCAACATATTATAAACTTAAAATTAACACTTCATAGTTTCTTTGAACAATTGTCAAGATATGCAAATTAGCCAAGCAGGCAAATTGGGAATTATTGATATTACATTGTTGTGTTTTTGGCACAATAAAATTTAGTACATTTATTAAGTCGTGATGCTGATGCGTGAATGCTGCGCCATATCGATGTGTTTTTGAAGATTTATTTTTTGTCCAAATATCTTTCCGCACGTCTCGCATGCATATGTGGTATTGTTATGCACCTTTTTGATATGACTATTGAGCTTTCCTTTTTGACTGTATGTCTTTCCGCAAATATGACATGGGTAGATGATGCCTTTATGAATCGAATCGATATGAGATTTCAGAATATACTTTCGCGAGAACTTCTTGCCACACACGTCACATTCACAACTTTTTTGACTATTATGCACTGAGTTAATGTGGGTGCGAAGACAACTCGTTTGAGAGAACGTCTTTCCGCAAATATCACATGTGGGAGTTTTACCATTATGTATCGCTTCAATATGTTTTTTGAGAGAATCTTTAAGTGAGAATGACTTTTCACATAAGTCACAGCCATGAGTGATTTTAAGATGCGTCGAATCGATATGAGATTTCAAATAACTTTTTTGAGAAAATGTCTTTCCGCAAAAATCGCATGGGTAGGTGATACTATTATGTATCGAATCGATATGAGATTTTAGAATATCCTTTCGCGAGAACTTCTTGCCACACACGTCACATTCGTAACCTTCTCGACAATTATGAACCGAATCGATGTGGGTTTGAAGATTACTCTTTCGAGAGAACGTCTTTCCACAGATATCACACGTGGGAGTTTCACCATTATGTATCGCTTTAATATGTTTCTTGAGATCACCTTGAAGTGAGAATGACTTTTCACATAAGTCACAGGTATGAGTAATTTTATGATGCACCGCGTCGATGTGAGATTTCAAATGACTTTTTTGAGAGAACGTCTTTCCGCAAATATCACATGTGGGAGCTTTACCATTATGTATTGCTTCAATGTGTTTTTTCAGATAAATTTTACATGAGAATGACTTTCCACAGAAGTCACAGCCATGAGTGATTTTAAGATGCGTCGAATCGATGTGTATTTTAAGATTGCTCTTATGTGCGAATGCCTTTCCACATGTATCACAAGGATATGTGATTTTATTATTCGGCATATCAATATGTTTTTGGAGTTTATGATTATAATTTACATTTTTTACAACTGTTTTTCTTTTCGTTGGCTCGCTGAGTTTACAGTTTGAGTTCATACTCAATTGATTTGCGTCGTCCACAAACGATTCTTTTTTTACAGCATCCAAAGCTTCTAATTTAATTATGTTTTGAGTTTGATATTCGTTACAATTTTCAATAGCTGCCAAGTGATCTTCAGAACAATTTTCAATTTTCGTAACTGCTAATAAATCCAAGCTCGGCTTCATGTCTTTACATTCCAACTCGATCGCCAAGTCATCAAGTTCACTTTCGTGATTTTCGTCAGATTTTTGAATCTGAATAAAATATAACTTATGTGGAATTTTTCATGAAATAATGATCTAATATGTTATTATAATTACTTACTTGATTTTCTTGCGGATGCCTTAAGAATTGAAAATTGTTGACATCGGCTGTCTTGTCGATTACAATGTAATCATTTTCACCGAGCAACACGTCGATTGGTTCTTTTTTCACTCTGAAATAATTTTTATTAATTCTAGTTCATTCATTTCGAGATGTAGTAATTTACGTAAAAAAATTACCTAACGATACTATTGAATACCACACTTGATTCCATTTTCCTCACGTAAAAATTTTCTTGCGATTGATCTTTCTGGACTGACTCTACACATGAAACTAACTTAAACTCGAATCTAATAATATTTACTAACCCTAAACTCTAAATTTGTACGCGTCAATGTTTTCATAATATTACTGAAGAAATTGTATTATCTTATATCGAATGAATAATAAACTTTATCCTATTAATGATATTTCATTACGAAGAGATTTTAAATTACAAAATGATACTGGATTATATTTATAAAAGCTGAAACGGGTGAAAAATTTTCGTATCATTTTTGCATCATTGCCTCGATTGAAATAATTTGAAATTATGTCAAACGAGAATTGGAAAATGTAAACAACTTTCGTTCTTTGCATTAATGTTTTTCAAGACAAAAAATGCCATTTTTTCTACAGCGTGTGATCGGTTCTCTCGTCGTGAAGTATCGCTCTGTGCTTCTGTTGGTCTATGTGCAAGAATTATACATTCTCATGTGCAATGCAAGGCAAGTGCAGCTCCTATAACGTGAAAGTGAACATGAGTAAGTGAGCGAGCGAAAAAGAGTGACAGAGAAATAAAGCGAAAGAGTAGGAGCATGTATGAGTAAAAAGGGGCGTGTAGATTCTCTCCATTGGCTCAGGCACGAGAGTAATGGTTGCTCACGTGCAACCTCTCACTTTTGTATGTGTGTGAGTGTACGTGTGTGTATGTGTAGTACCTAGTGACTGGTGTTATGTGCAGGCCTGGTATGTCTGTATGCCTATGCAAGTGAATTCAGTGCTTCAAATGCCTCGTCAAAAAAAAAGTCAAAGCTATTGTTCTGCTACAATTTTCAATCAGTCGAAAATACATTCCACGGCAGCGTTCGTTGTGAAAATTCCCCAAAAAATGTATGATTTAATTTTTAAAATAAATTAAAATGATTTTGTGATTACCAATTTGAATACAATTAATAATTGATACAAGCAATTTGGACAATCGGATAATTTTGTACGAAATTACATTTACTTATCTACTCTTAAATTAAAAAATAATCAGCAATGCATGGGATTGTTACTTTTTTCTCCATCGTTGAGTAGATCAATCTCGATCGAAATCGATCGAATTAGCTCTCATCAACACTTGACAAAGGTATAACACGATAATTACGAAAAATCGAGTCTCTAAATCTCGTTAACTATACAATCCGATCGATCTTATATGCGGAGCAAAACGTTCTCCTCTATCGGCTCGGATAATCAGAAAATTGATTACATCTCGCCCGGCCACGAGCCCGAAAAAAGAATCGATTAAGCTATTTTTCAAATTGAAATTAGGGCCTCTTCGCGCAGCAGTCCAGCTCACATCGCACAAGTAGTACAGGCACGTATGAAATATGCTCACGCGATCTGTATGTAGATGAAAGAAGGGATTACAAAAAAATAATCGCACGCGTTTCAATCGGTCTATATATCGAGATCGTATGCGCGATCGGAGAGTACCCGAGAGTGGCCTGGCGCGAGCGAGCGAGCGATAACTATCGAAACGTAAGCATCGTAAGCAGGTATATTTATAAGAGAGTGAGAGAAGAGAAGATACCCGATCGGCCAATATAATACGAGTCGATTACGACTCGCGTACTTATAAAGCAATTCAACACTTTGCCTCTTTTTCTCTCTCTCTCTATCGTCATGTTGGCCGTTTACCCGCCGTGTGATGTAATAAATTAAAATTGCTATAGTTAATATAGAACACATCACTTGGTTGGCTGGCTTGTCTCGTCAGCCGAGTCGCCCTCGATAACGGCTGCAGTATATGTAATGTAATGTATATAAAAGAGAGAAGGACGATTACACCCCGTGTGCATATACATTATATATTTATTAGGGGCTCTACTTATAGGTATACCCATATACATAGAGAGAGAGAGAGTTTAAAAGCCCCAGCAGGCGCAAAAATGCGCGTGTGTTTATAAACGCGCAGCCGAAAATTTTCTAACTGAATAGTGCGTATACATATACTCGTGTGTGTGTGCTTGTGTGTATATGTATTTGTGCAAAAAATAAGTGGATGTGTACAGGAAGGAGGGCCTTATCTCTGAAGATCAAAGAGGGCCTGGGGTGTCGATGGCTTCCGCGCGCGTACACACACACACACACACGTATAGGCTCTACGCGGGAACCCCGTGATACACACCAAGTAGTGGTAGCAGCAGCTGGACATTTGCGCTGGCTCGCGCGCGAGCAAACTGACCGAAGCATGACCGAGATAACGATCCCCGCCTTGATGTATCTGGATCGCGTTCACGTCGTTCTTTCTCTCTCGCTCGGCTCACGTCGTTCGTTGCCTTCGTTGCTACTCTGTGTGTTTTTTTTTCTTGCGTTTCGAAGCTATACGGCTCTCTTCCTATAATATATATTGTAATGCGCCTCGTAGTGCGCTCGTCTCCTCTTCTTCTTTGTCCTTCTCCTCTTTATATATATACTTGATGCATGCGGTGTTGCGAGACTATGCGCCGAAGTGAGTTATATCACACACACACACAGATATATACACGCAGGTAGGTTCGGGGGATGCTTCGAATGCCGATGATAATTGGCCTTAATTCCGAACTCGCGCGCGTAGGTATATACAGGGATTGTCGTCGTGCGTTCATCTTAATTGTTTTGTCCCACATACGAGTGGCGATTCACGATTTATTTTTTATAATTGATTTATTAAATTTGCATTCGCGTCCAACTGTACATTTATTTTTCTTAGATGTAAACATTTTTTCGAAAATTTCTCTCTGTTTCCCCCCTGCGAGCAGCAGCACAATCTATAGGAACTTATATTATACCCTATTCGAGCTGAGAGAGAGAGAGGAATAAATTGTGAAGAGTAAATTTCAAATGTTCTAACTATAAGTTAACGGACTGAACAGTAAATTTCTTCGGCCGCGCAGCGCAGAATGCGGTAGGAGGCATGGCGTATTGAGCCTCGTCGACGCGCGTTCCATGCTTATGTGTATATACCAAGCCGAGGTATACGTATATATACATGAAACGCGATTTTAATCTTTCGCCAGCATATGGAGAGCTCTGCTCGTGGGATAGCGTTATTTAAAAGGGTTTCGAGGCAAAGGGAGAGAAAGAGAGGGAGGGAGGGGATTCCACTGTGTGCACTCATTCCTTGCTCCGACTAATTATCAGGGCTCTTTCCACATATATACGTCTGTGTTCAACTGTGCAGTGTTAGTGGGGGTGGTGTGCAAACCCAATTTCCACAATCCTCCGGCGCATCGCATGTGCGCCGCAGACAGAGTCAGCACGGGGTCTGTCGAAGGTCTTATCGATAATTAGCCAAAAGAGACTTTGTAAATTAATTGAATTAAAACGCGATGCTTTCGAAGCCCGAAACGCATTCCACGGTGACTCGATTCGATGAAGTCGTACCCGTGTGTGTATATATACCGATCTCGAATGCCGATCGATTCTCCCTTTTGTCCGCGATCCAAGTGCAACTATACTATACGGATGACAAAATTCCATACGCACTCGTTTCGCTGACGCGCAAGTATATTATAAGAAAATAAAAGCAAAGAGGGAGATTTCCACAGAAGAATGCCGCGAGCGTATCAAAGAGCGCGCACGATATTCGTATGCAGGCGTACGCGTATGTATGTGCTTATACGGAGAAAATTGTGGGCTGGGCTGTGCTCCACATATGTGTGTGTACACACACACACACACACACACACACACACGGATGAAGCTGCTTATACACATGTATATGCACACGAGCGCGGAGGAGATAGAGCGAGAGAGCCGGAGCAAACGATACCCGGGGGGTGAAAAAACAACACAGAGAGAGAGAGAGAGAGACAGACAGAGTCATGTGTGGCAAGAGAAAAAGGAGAGAGAGAGCAAAAGGCAACGGCAACATTATGCAAATCCGTAGTCAATACCTAATATGAGATAATTATAATGATTACGCGCTGTTGTGCCTTGTGTACGCGCGCGCGAGCGAGCGAGCGATCGAGTCGTGTGTTGTGTGCTGTGCTGTGCAGCGAGGCAATTCTTATACGTGCCGTCGATACACGCGCGTATAAAGTCGGGGTAGAGAGCGAGAGGTATACACTCCTCCACGGATTTTGCGATTGATGATGTATTTTTTATATATATAACGTACGCTCTCGAAACATTATACGCATTCTCTTCTTCGTTGCTTCTTCTCTCTCTGTCTCCTTTTTTTTCTCCCCGCGAGCTTTTACTCTCTTTAATGTAATCTCTCGGCTGAGATCTCTCTGTCCAAACACTCCCGAAGAATTTGCGACGCGATGGAATTCGTCATACGCGCACGCTACGCATAATATAATATAATGTTATAGTGTCAACGTAATGCCGATGTTTATTACACGCCGTGGAGCGGCAGATTGTTAGTTTTGTTAAAAATACACTTTTTACGCCGATTCCCTGGTCATTATCATTAAGTAGGACGGTAATGTTTCCGAGTCACTTAAGTGAGACATAAATCAAATTTGGGAGATTTGAAATTGCGTTGCCTTATGAAGCGAGAATCGCATCGCCTATTACTGTGAAATGTAATGATTTCCGAAGACTTGTATGATTATTTTGACTTTGCCACTTGCAAATTTACGGATAAAGGTACACTCACCATCTAGTGGTGGATTTGCTCAGTAAGTAGCTCATGTTTAAAGGCAAATAGCCAAGCAGAAACTATAAGACCAACGATAGCTGGTTTTTTGAAAAGTATTCGTTGACTTATACAAGTATGCTTAATACTTTATCACTTGCCGATTTACAATTGAAAGGTACTCGCCATTTAGTGGTGAAGGCTAGTTTTATCAACAAGTTCGATAGCCTTTAATAGAACCCTTGTATTTCTTATATACAACATCTGACTTATACAATTAGTTTGACTTTGCCACTTACAGGTTTATAGAGCGAAGATACTCGCCCTCTAGCGGTAGAGACTGACTTATAGAATATAAAATAATCAAGGATTGCGACCTGAAACATTTTCCAGATTCTGATTAACCTGCACGAAGCAGATTAGGTAATTCCGATTGACGATCAACAAAGAACATCACAATGAAGGTCGTTACAAAGCCTTTTGGAGACATATCAAGTATAAGTTTCAGAAAACAGTATCGAACATTCGATTCGTCATCTCCTTGATAAATATCATCCTTCGCGTCTTCGCCAAGTACGTTACAAATTATTCGCCCCGAAACTGTTTCATCGATGACTCACATACAAGCGATAATAAAATATAATAAAACTAAAAAAAGAAAAAGACATTGTCGAACGCCAGGAATAATAACGCTCTGAAAAGTTTTTAGCGATCGTCGAGAGAGGCAGCGCTCGCTCGCAGAAGGTGATGCGCCTCAGGCAGCTTTAGCGCGCGCACACACACACACGCTCGCGTTACAACATTTTTATACAAAAACGTATACACAGACACACACACATACTAGAAGTGGTCGCGTCGCGTTGTTGTGGCCGAGCTCCGCTGCTGCTTATCATAAAATATGCTTGCTATGCACGCTCGGCTCTTACATACATACGTATAGACGCCGGGAGGACATTGCGCGCGCTCCACAGGATCGCTCGCGAGAGAGAGAGAGAGAGAGAAAATATTATTCGCAGCCCCGGGTAGTGCACATATACGCATTATAATACGGGCTTCCTCCTCCTTCCTCCACCAGAGCAGCATCAGCAGCAGCAGCAGCAGCCACAGCCTCTCTGTCTCTCTTTAATATAGAATGCATATCGAGAGGTCTTTCTTGTAAATCTGCTATGTATATATAGCTATATACAGGAGAGTCGGGCGCGCATCACATTCGACTTTTTACGCGCGCGAGCGAGCTCGAGTCTCTTTTTACTTTTTTCTTTATTTTTCTGCGATATATACCGAAAGAGAGCTCGGGGCCAATTGGAAATTGTCCCTAATAACAGGGGAATGTAACGCGCGCGGGCTTATAACGCGCGACTACGAGAGCAAAAAAAAGCGTATTATATACAGGCCAGTGTATACGTATTGTAAAGTGTATATAATCCACGTGTGCGCGCTGCATCATCGAGACACACACACCCAACAATATGTGAATGGATACGCATGATGTGCGCCTATCTACTAGCCCAATAGTTAACTCCGATAACAAACCGTCTGTTATAATGACATCGAATCACATCTCGTCTATCTTTTTTATTTTTTGAATACATTTAAATTATAGATGACGAAGTTTTGTAGTCCCTTTAAGTTTCTCAAAAATATATCTCTTTGATAATATTCTCAAGATAAATATATTCTCATTAGACGAGTTTTTCGATAGGAGCAAATCGCACTGCCTGGTCTTTCTTTCCTTATATGAGCTTTCGGAGAGTGCCAACGATCGAATACACATAATATGAAGCTTTTGCTCGAGCCTCCAGCAGCAGCAGCAGCGGCAGTCGAAATACGATCGCCGCGCTCGTTCGACCGCGTTGAACTTCCAATTACGGGCAAAATCGGGCCAAACCGCCTTATCGAGCTTAATAATCGGGGTTAGCTCGCTCTCAGGTCGTGCGAAGGCCACGTGGCCAGTGTGTAAAAAAGCTCGGAAGCAGCAGCAGCAGCTACTGCAAGCACACACACACACACCCCTTCCACAGCACGTGCTGTTCCGTCCGCGACTGACTGACCTAGCAATTTTCTCATTTCCAAACGCGCGGTCTTCTCGGTCAGCAGCAGTAGCAGCTTCTCAGCTGTTGTTGTCTGGTTGTGTTGTCATAAAAGTATTTTTCTCGAGATTTGTCGTGCTCTTGGGCTTTTAAAGCACATTTTCTTTGGCGCGGGGGTGGCAATTGCAGCGAGTCATCGTAGACAATGAGACGAGTCGAAATTCGGTTGGTTGGTCGCAGATGATCGAGACACCCCCCACAGAGTGAAAATGAAAGTTCTACTAGCTTTGTGCACCGTCGGTTACTTGGTCACCGTTTCTGCCAGTAATTTCTCATGTAAGTTATAATTTTATTAATTTCAATCACACGCACGTAAAGCTCACGCAATTATGCAATTAAAGCCGTCGAAAAGCAGAAGATAGTTCAAGGCTACACCGCGTCCCACGGCCAGTTCCCCTTTCAAGCGCACATGAAGCGTCGCGGCTGGTCCAAGAGCTGGTTCCCGAGCTTCCTCGTCGGCTGGATACCCACCTGGTTCGCCTCGGACTTCTTCTGCGGCGCCTCGATCATAAACCAGCGCTACCTGCTCACCGCGGCTCACTGCATCTTCGAGTAAGTAATTGAAACGATGAAAATTGCACTATTCTAGGTGATTTTTTTACTGAAATAAATTGGGTTTAATTATTTCAATATTTATTGTTTTTTAATTTGAGATGTGTTGAATTTTAGTTTTTTTTCACAGGGTTTAGGTTTTAATAATTGCTTACATTAGCATTTATAAATAAAATAGGAACGTTAATTTGAATGAATTGCGACAGCGTATTTTTATCTGTTTATTTGTTTTTTCGTACTCTTGTCGGGAGAACAGCGAGCAGTGGCAACAGACCGACGTCGTGGTGGGCACGAACCTCGTCGGCCAGGCCAACGCGACCATCTACCAAGTGGACAGGTTCATCATTCACGGCGATTTCATCAGTCTGGATACCAGCCGAGTGAGTGTGTGTGTGTGCGATAGTCGAGAGATTTTTTCAAAAAAAAAAAACATTTTTTTTCAATGTTATATAAATAAATAAAATGTATATTACGTTGCGAAACAGTGGGACCGCGGCATCAACGATATCGCTCTGGTGCGAGTGACGAAGGACATCGTCTACAACGAGTACGTGCAGCCGATCAGGCTGGCGGCCAAGGATCACAAGCTGCACGAGGGCTCGATCGTCACGATAACAGGCTGGGGCAAACTGAGCGTAAGATCGGCATAATATAGGCAGATAATATTTATTACCAAAATATCGAATCAAGTCTTCGACTCGATTGTAGAATACGTACGAGGGCTCGGCGAAGAGTCTGCAGATGATATCGAGGAAGGTGTCGAATTTTCGCGAATGCAAGAAGCAGTGGATGTACATGCACGAGATACCCCTCGACGACGGCATATTGTGCACCGTCGACATACTGCCGACCGACCAAGGTGGCATATGCAAGGTAACGTTACACGAAATTCCTTGAATAAATAAATAAATAAATAAACAAATAAAGTATGAAAATTGTGTGTCACCAGGGCGACTCGGGCAGTCCGCTGGTCGACGAGAACGGCATACAGGTGGGCATCGCCACGATAAGCGACGGCTGCGGCCTGACGCACATCGTGCCCGAGGGCTACACCAAGGTGTCGCACTACGCCGACTGGATCGAGGCCTGTCTGAAGCGCGACGAGGGCAGAAACTTGATACTCGTCGCCAATTGACGAATATGATCGTGCGTTATTAATTGTTTATCTGTGCTCGCGAGACGAGCAGAGAAAAATTGTGTGTACTCCAAAAGTCAGAATAAAGTTGATGATCGTTGACCAATGTGCAGAGCCAATAATAATACAATAAATCGCATGTAGTTGACACTCGAGTTGCCTATGCTCGAGGATAATCCGCTATCGTTCAGCCTTTAATATATTCGGGACGGAAGCGAGGGCTGCGACACACGATACGCAGTGTATATGCCAATTAGCGCGCGCGAAACCCACATGCCGCAGTCTGTACATTTGCGTGTGCGCGACGTTAATATATATTATAATCAAGTGTATGTGGTTCGTCGTATACGCGACTTTTTTATTTTTGCACGTAAGTCAAGAACTGCATGAAAAAAAGTTCAAATGTACTTACGAGTATGACAATTGATTAGGAACAAAGTACCGTGTAAATTGGTTTTTTTTTAAGAAACTACCATTTATCACGAATATAAAGAATTGGTTATAAATTATTTATTAAATTCAAAGGCGAGAAAAGATCGTTGAACTTGCGTTGTTTTGCGGGCTCGTACTCTTGTCCCGTTGACTTCAAATAATTGGGTGCTTATCGATAGAAAAGTTTAAACTCATTATTTCATTATTTCAATAATATATTCAATTCGATATATTCGGAAATATGCTACATAAAATAGAATCAGACATTCAAAAATTTATTTACAATACATGCAATTTGATACGCATTTAAAAAGACTGCGTAAAAGCTTCATTGTCGTGTCGCGAGCTTCAGTCCTCAACCGCCAAGCAAACACTGTATGAATCTTCGTTCGACAGCTTCTCGATAATGATTACACAGATCTCTTCTGGCAGACGATAGTGTATCAATTTCTGGAAAGGATACAGGGCCCACACCCGGAAAAATTTTTTCCACAGTGTCTCGCACACGAACAAAATGCGATCGTCGTCGTACGGCTCGCGGCCCATCAGCATCTGTACGGCTCTGCGAGCAAAATCCACCCGATCGCGGTACCCCGATCGATGATCCGCCCACGGCCTCTGGAACAATCCGTACCGGGAAAACAATCTCATGATCGTCGTGGCGTCGCCGCGGTCCAGGTCGTATCCACTTTTCTCGAGGCGTTCGACGACTTCCGTAAGGCCACGCGCCAATCTCAATTTGAAAGCGAGCTCGGTACGCCGCGCGTCGAAGCACTCGGCAAAGTGTGTCTCGGTCGGGAAGACGAACGTCGAAAGATCGGCACCACGTTCGAGGAGCTGATCGACCACGGCCGGTAAAATATTCGCCACGGCCCATTGCAGCGGTGTCCTGCCCTCGTTGTCTCGAACATCGACCTGCACCTGCTTCCGGACGTCACCGACGATCTTGAAGAATAGCTCCGTCAAATCGTCGTCGTCTTTTCTCCGGCAAACGACGTGCAGAGGCGTCGATCCCTCGGCGTTGGCCAAGTTAGGATCGGCGTCTCTTTTCAGCAGCGACTCGACGATGGCTCTGTGGCCAAGAGACAGAGCCAAGTGCAGCGGAGTATTGCCTCTCGCGTCTCGAGCGTCGATCTGCACTATCCTTCGAATATCGTCTCTGATCTCGGAGGACATCTCCGACAACAACCGGTATTCGTTGATTATTCTGCAAATCTCGAGCGCAGGAATACCATTGGTCAAATTCCGATCGACCAATCTCCTCGTCAGATATTCTTCCACAGCCTGGTGGGAACCAGACAGAGCCAAGTGCACATCCAGCCGCATCTTGTCGGTGATCTGGAAAAATTTCTCCGCCCAATTTTCACCCTCGTGGTATTTCGCGTTCTCGACGATGACGTGCAGAGCGGTCGATCCGTTTTCCGGATCGGCGCAGTTCGGATCGGCGCCGTGCTCCAGCAGCAATTCCGCCACGCTCATGTGACCCAAGGACACGGCCACGTGCAACGGTGTCCTACCCTTGCACCGGGCATCCACGTCGACCTTCACTCGCGACAAGCCGAACAACTCGCGCGTTCGCTCCAAGTAGTCGGCTCTCTGGCACAAATGGTGCAGCGGCGTCAATTTACTGGCGTCGATCGCGTTCGGATTGGCGCGGCCCCGCCCCAGCAGCAATCTGTACACGGCCGCGTTGTCGCTCCTCAGTGCCAGTATCAGCGGCAGATCGCCGCTTCTGCGGCACACGCGATCGGGATCGACCCGGCCGCGCTTGAGAAACTCGTGGACGACTTGGTAGCAGCCGAATTTGCAGGCCACGTGAAAATGCGTCGTGCCGTGGTCGTCCTCGTAGTTCGCCTCGAACCTGTTGTAAATGTCGAAGAGGTCGGAGACCATCTCCCTCCAATCGTCGTCGGGCTGGTCCTTTGTACCCGCTTTGTGCAGCGCCGTGACGCGGAACAAGGTCTCGCCGACCACGGGCTTGTCTCTGAAGCCCGATTTAGCCACGAATTTGACGATACTCTTATTTCTCGAAATATTCGTACCATCGTGACAGCTGTTTGTTGCGCACTCCGTAAGAAGGGCGTGAATTTCGTCCTCGTGGAAAACCTCTTCGAACTTCGGAGGCTTTCCCGTCCAATCGCGGATCAGATTCCAGAGATCGTCGAGAAGTTGAACTCGCCCGTCTTTGCTCCCCCAATCGACATTTTTTCCCAAGCTCTTCAAATTTCCCAATCTTGTTCTGACCATCGCTGATGATTTACGATGCTTTGAAATTTTTTCACGATGATCACTTGCTTCGGTCGACGCGCGATGTTTACCCTCTGCGGCGGCGTGACGTGTACTGACGATACACTTAACTGTATACCATCTGTATAGAAAGTAAACACGGGCTTCGAGGCGCGAGAGATACGTTTTCCTCGAGTTTCGTGTATAATAATTTCAAGTGGAAATGGACGTTTTTGTATTAAATTTTAGAAGATAATTTTTAGAAGTATATGAGATGAGAAAAGAAGATCGATCGTTCGAAAATAACAAAAGAGGTTGATTCCTTTACTAATTTTTTGATAATTATCATGATATAATATTTGATTATGTTCGGTTTAATGAAACAAATTTTCAAAACTCAAAAACAGTCGAGTAAGAAAATGAGGGAATCCCCTCGACCGAGTCAAGTTTTTTCGGATAATCACAACCCTTAGTAATTACCAAAATAATGATTAACTGTTGCGTTTGCCATTACTCATTGCTCAGCTTACGATTTTTCTTGACACTCGTTCTTGTTAAAAAACAGAAAATTATTCAAATCGTTGAATTCAAAGATTATTAATTAAATTTCAATGTGTAAATATTTAACAGAAATAATAGGTTTAAGACCAAAAAATTATCATTGATTGACTCGTTTTAGACTATTTTTATGTCAAAACTTAAGAGTATGTTACAAATATTTATAATGCATTTGAAATGACTTAAAAGTGACAACTCAATCGTTTCAAAAAGTTTAATTCATTCTTCCAACACTTTCAATACGACTTTGAACCTTCACCGCTAGATGGCGAGCAACTTTATCTGCAAATCCGCAAGTGGCAAAATGAAAATAATTGCGTATAAATCGAAGCCCTGTGTTTATAGAGTATTTTTGAAACAGGGTTAAAGCGCGCACTGCCTGTGAGAGCTTGAAATTTTTAAAAACACCCACGTACACAGTGAGCTCGATCGATCGATTCGAGTATCGTCGAGTATGTCATAATTTTATATGTGTATGCGCTTGTACTTCGTACGAGCAGTTTTGGTTGAATCACACATCCGATCGAATTACGCACCCCTGTGGAAACGAGACAAAAAAGAAAAAGGTAAAAATCGCGTCGCCCTTTGGTGTATATACGATATAAAATAAAAACACGGCAGCTCAATCTCCTCGTACGTCTGCTGTCCGTAATGACCCCTGCCATTTCCGCGTTCTCTGCGGGCTCGAGTCGAGTATATATATTGCCGAGAGAGAGAGAGCTTCCGAAATGGAAAAAAGGGTCTGTCTCTCTCTCTCGTGTGTGTGCGTATTATAATGTAACAGAAAAACCGGTGGTAATCGTCGATTAGGAGTCTCGCGAAACGTAAATGGGCGGCTGCACTACTACTACTACTGCTGCTGCCTCCACACAAGGTATATATGAGCCAAGAGAGACTGATATCAAGTTCGTGAGATCTGAGATTTCGGGTCGAGATAAGCGGATACGCGACGTAGTCTCGGGCCCTGCGAGCACGCGCACACGCGCGTTATATATAACAGATGCTCGAGTTCGGTTAAGTTCCGCTGCTGCTGCTGCTGTCCGTTGCCCTGTGATGCCCCTGCTGCACTCGTATTTAGAGTATAAGGTATGTATACCTTCGAAAACCTTCCGTTTTTTCGTATAAACGTTTCGTTCGCCGAGCTAGACGCTCCGATGTACCGTAATTTTATGCTCCCTTTTGCTGTCCGATGGTCGATTTTTATTGAGCTTTTCGAATGGTTCGTAAGTATTTGGAATATGTAAATGATAAGAAAAACAAAAATTTATCGTCGATTGTAAGCGTCACACGTACTTTTCTTGTCGCGGTTATGGCACTTTCGGCCTCGTTGATCGTTAAACGAGACCAACAGCTCGGCGTTTTCGAGATAGCGCGCTTACGCGTATAGAGTCAAAGATAATAAAAAAAAACAGGAGAGAAAACATAACTTTTAGAAACGTTTTAATTTAAAACACGATGCATATAACGAACAAAGGGAGCAAAAAAAAAGAAAGAAAGAAAGAAAGAAACAGCTCTCATTGCTTTTGCGAAATCGCTGCAACGAAACGCGCGGAGCTTTGTGCCGTGGCGCGCGCGCACCTAGCCAACACACATACACAGCTCTACGTATGTGTGTGTACTCGCTCATTCGTCGACTCGCAGTTGTAAATGTGTATGTGTGTGTGTGTGTGTGTGTACGTGTGCGTGCGTGTATATATTTGGTGCAGCGAATTGTAGTTTCTTATCGTAGCGGAGCATCGTTGTACGCCGCCGCCGCAGCCAGAGCCGCGACAATGGCAGTCGCT